AAGCGGGGTAGGGTCGAGTAAGAGCGCTTATGTTTCAAGCTCTCGAAAGAAATACAGCTATGGCGTTTCTTCTAGCTCTGGACCAGCTGGACGAACCAAACCGGCAAGAAAAATCCATAGGTTATGTTGTACAATGCAAGAGATTATTTCGCGAGACGAGATCAGACGAGACGAGAGAGACTCTCTACGACTCTCGTCTCGTCTCGAGTTAATCTCGAGGTCGAGACGAGACGAGATCAACCGCTAATCTCGTCTCGTCTCGTCTCGCGGCATCACTAACGCCGAGCGGTTAGAAGAAAAAAATATAGGTAAACAACGGAGAGCGGGAAAGTTCGGAAAAGTGTAAAAACTAAATAAAAAGTTGTGTTTGGTATACCTATATTATTATATTTTATGAATTTGAATCCCGAAAGCCGTTTTCCCTTGTATACAGCCTGATTTACGTCGCCCGTATATTAGAAATTGTTCAGTTTGCAAGTAGATTAGCATAAATACCACCTAATCTACCTGCTAATGCACGGACTACGTAAATCACCCTGTATTATACTCAAAAGATGTACCAGAGACAATCCCAGTTTACCTACTTGATGGGCTGTTGTAGACTGTAGGTAACGAGAACTTATAAACTTTAGATAAACTGGTTCTGTAGGTCTATCCACCCATGGTCCACATCTAAAGCATTCAACGAAAAGAAATTTAACTAGGTACCTATCTATTTTATTTATCATTTTTTAGCTTGCTGTAATAAAAAGGAATGAAATATTGGATAATTCCACAATAGGCCCCTTGCATCAAATTTTTTTATTGCTGATTTCGATAGTCCATGAAAAATAAGTCAACACGTGTTTTTTCTTTTTCTTATTAGTCAAAAATTGACGGAGATACAACGCTTTGAAATGTCCTTCCGACGTCATAACTTAGGTCGTGACGTCGCACATGCTCAGTATATCTATATATAAAAAATATTAAAAAACTTAGGGGACGTTCCGTAAGTTAACCAAGATTCTTGGTTTTTCCGGTAAACGTTCCGTAACCTAACCACTCCTGAAATCTGGTTAGGTTATGAAACGCGGTTCCACACATAAACCGCATATTCAGGAACCAGACTGTCACCATAAACGAACTGCTCCATACTCCATACCAATCGGTAACTCTGGTTAAGATACGGACTGTGTTGCCAACCATATGAATGTCCATTTTACCAGATTATAAAACTTGGAATACCAGAATATTACTAGATTTCTCTCAATCCTGCCAATACCAGAATATTACTAGGTCTTTGTTTTTTTGTTTAGCAACAAAAATTGTGCTAAAATTTTCAGATTTCAATTATTTATTTTAAGTATTTTTTTTTTTCGTTAGGTTTAAAATAAAAATGCAATAACAACAATATCTAGTATGGAAAAATAAAACTTATTCAGATAAAATAACACTGCATAACTAATGTATACACAGGATACCTATGAACATTATTATAAAAAAAATCCATTCTGTATAACATAACATTACAGAGATATTGGTAAGCATACTTAGGTCCGGTTTGTTCATCTTCAGATAAGCTCCCTGGGCTGGAACTCTGTAACGGGTAGAGATCGTTATCCCTATCGCTATGGCATTTGCTGTCTTCTTCTCTCTTCTCGAAATCAATAGAGAGGGGACGTCAATAGAGATAGAGAAAATATCTCTATTCGTTACAGAGTCCCAGCCCTGGTAACTATCTGCAAGATAAGTGCACCGTTCTATAATTCTATTGGTCGGCGGATAACTGGCCAATCAATGGGATAACAAATTTCGTTTTTATATGGGTCAGATTGCATACCTGACAGTTTATCAGAAGATGAATAAACCGGCCCTAATAGGTATATTGGTAACCTTTGGCATAACTATTTAAAACTATAGTCTCCATAGACGCGATTGACGCGAAATAGCGATTTTTTTGCGGATTTCTCTCCTATTGGTTAAAATTTCACATTCAAATGTCCAATGTCAAATTCTAACATGTAAAAATGTCACTTTAAGCGTTGATTATCGTTAAACCTCCCTCAAAATGGATGGTGCAAACGGCCATAAATTCAAGAAAAATGGATTATTAATTGCTAATGCGAAAATACCAGAATTTTGTTGGAATAAAATGTCAAATTACCAGAAATATTACTTATAGATATATTTTGAAAATCTTCATTACTAAAACCGGGGTCGATATTACCAGATCTGGTAATTATTTTACCAAGTTGGCAACACTGGATACGGAACGCCACCTTAATATTTGTATAACTAATAACGGAATAATCATATTTGGGCGGAATAAAAAAAAAGTAACGATTTTTTTTCGATTTCCTGCAGTTTGCAATAAACAATAATCAATTTAATTTTCCATGCAAGTAGGGGAAAGTGGGTAACATTGAGACACGGACACACTTTTTAAATAGGTGTCGCCGCAAAGAGAGATTTTGAGCCACATAAATTTTGGAATACGTTACATGCTAAACGATAAACTAAGCAAGCGCAGTCTTTGAAAAATAGCGGATGACATTTAGCCTTTTTTTAGTTTTCGAAGCCAAAATTTGTGAAGGACGTTATAAGCTAAACGTTAATGAAAATTTGTGGTTAGGAATTTGAATTTGTGTAACTAGCGTCAAATTTTATGTTGTCTGTTGTTTATGTTAGGACGGTTGGGAATTTATTTATGTTTTGTTTTGTGTAATTATGTACTGCACTTCATGAATAACATTGAAAATATTAAGACGTCGAAATGCTGAAACGTTATCGGTTAATAACGTTCCGTTTATTTCCACATAATTAGCGTAGTACGTTACCGCTTATTAAGCGGGCCAGTTATTTTTTCACTATTGCGCATGAGCAAAATAACCGATAACGTATAACGTTGATCAAATAGGTGGCTCAAAATCTCTTAATGATGTCTTGAGAGAAGTATCAGTTCTATTTTCAACCATCTTCCATTTTTAGTTTGGTCTGCAACGCGGAAGGGGGTACAACCTTTCAGTTATTTTTTTTTGTCCAGGAACTTTTTCGGCGAAATTTGAAAAAACGGTGATTTTTTTTATTACGCATAGTCTTTAAGTGATATAAGGGAACCTTTCTGCTGTTAATTGGATTTATTAAAACTAAATTAAAATCAAAGGGGGACTAAAAAATGGCATTTTATTTTTCAAAGTGACTTGTGTATGAATGAGACCTGTTTAGATGGGTAACACTGAGACCATGTAGTTCTAGTAGAATTTGCAACTGAAACATTAAAGGAAAAAAATCTACCTATCACATAGGAAAATTGTTGTTATCAGAAATCGATAGTGATAACAAAAATGATTATAAATTACCATTTTTAAGGAAAAGTGATAAAAAGGATCGGGATTTTTGTTTCCCCAAATGTCCAGATTCCTGTTTCTAAAAGAGATATTAAGATGATTTTGCCAAAACCAGTGAATTACGGAAAGACTGAAATCGATCCTACCATGGCTTTGAAACTTTGTCTGGGTCATTTGTAGAAGTTTGTTTCAGTTTATTCAAGTAATTATTTCTCATTTGATATAGTGTCTCATTGAACCCCCTGCATGGGTATCAATGAGACAAATGTCATGATAACTATTTATGTCAAATATTGTCTTTGTAAGTGACTATAGAATCAAAAACATAATAAATTTCTAAGTTAGATTTATTCTTAAGTGTTACTGAAAAAAAAAAATCCACATTTTAAAGGTTTATGGTAAAATATTTTCATTAGAAAAAAAAGTGTCTCAGTGTTACCCAGTTTCCCCTAGCCTATTTTGAAGAAAAAAAACTTGCTTCCCCTATTTATCCACATATCAATTAGTTGTGAATTGCTCACATTTAAGATATTTTTGTTCATAGAAGACATAATAGGTAGGTCAGATTCAACGGCACTGGCGAAAATATTGAAAAATCAATCAAATCGAATTTAAAATAACATTTTCCTACGAGCGTGCGCAAAGTAGTACTTTTCCGCACGCATTTCCGGGCTCAAAGTTACACTTTTCCGCACTCAGTGCGGATACAGGCCTTATCCGCACTGAGTGCCGAAAAGTAATTATAATTGTCAAGCAACAATAAGTGTACCTGTCGACTTTGACACATGATGACAAATTTTTTCTCTGTTTCTATATCAGCCAACATCTATACAAACACCAAATATAAATTAATTTGACACATTGTCAGATTTGTTCTCTATTTATATGCAAAAATCTACAAACTTTCTCATCAAATTTAAACGCTTTAAGATGAACAGCTTTGACGAGGATTTTCTGTTATTTTTTTGTTATGTAATTTTTTGATAAATGCATAGGTTCCATTCAAGTTAATTAAAAATAATTAAACAAATTATCGTTTTTTTTTTAAATTTTTGTTATTACCTACCTGATATGAAGCTCGTAGGAAAAATTTTGTTCCTAACACGTGCGCAAAGTGTCTTTTCCGCACGCAAACACGTATCCGAACTCCGCTTCGCGTCGTTCGTATAACTGTGTTTGCGTGCGGAAAAGTAACACTTTGCGCACTTGTTAGGAAAATAACTATTTTCTAACCGTTCGTTTTCAAGTGGCATTTTCAGTGATGTCATCACTTGACATACCGCCCCTAATCGTTTTGTAACCCGGTTAGTTTAAACCGGAGCGACGTGAAAGGGTGTATGAGTGAGTATCGATAAACCTTTCTCTACTCTACTAGGTTCGTCCGCCATTTTCATCCTTCGAACGTCAAGTATAATGCTCCGAATCAAAATTAGATTTAAAAAAAACGTGTGCTTTGTGCAATATGAGCTTTGTGCTCATATTTGAACTGAAACTCGTTTGAAAACTCAGATTAAATGCTATCATGCTATCCTTCTATCCTACTAATAATATGAGTGCTATGGTATGGCAAGCGATTGATAAAATCGCATTGAATCACTAACGCAAGGATGAAAATGGCGCCAGATGTAACGAACCGAAACCTATCCGATAACCTATCACTGTCAGATGTCATGGGTCTGTCTCTTCATTCCATTCGTTTCTTTTTGTTTTGTGGATCCTTCCTTTCATTTTTCATTTCATTCTAATCTTCCTTCATTGAAAAAAATAAAGTCCAAGTTATTACCAAAAATGGCAAGCGATCCGAAAAAAACTGATAAAAAGTCCCCCAAAGGTCCAGACCCCCAAGAGATATTAGCTGGCTTTCAATCGTTACGTACAGATCAGAGATTTCTCACATCTAAACTGGCCGAGCTAGAATTAGACCAAAATGAACATAAGTAAGAACCAGTGCCAAATGGGGCCAATATAGCTTTTCCTTCGATTACTTTGGCTTTGCTCAATTAATAGTACCAGCAAAATTATATTTCTATAAATAAATAACTATTTTCCATTTATATTTTCATAAATTTCTAGCAATTTTGATTTTTTAACCTATAATTTCTAGGATGGTAATTGAAACCCTCAAAAATGTGAGTCAAGAAAGAAAATGCTTCAGATTTGTTGGAGGTGTATTAACAGAGAGAAAGGTAAAAGATGTCCTACCAGTGCTGCAAAGTAACTCAGAAAAACTAAAAGAAATCATAGAGAAGTTAGAAGAGCGAATAACCAACAAAGGGCAGGAAATTAACGAATATCGAGAAAAGTACAATATTAGATTTAAGGGCTTAGATAATCTTAAGGAAGAAGAGGCAGTAGCTTCGCAAGCAGGTGAATCCTCACGTGGAAAAGTGTTGGTGTCGTAACATTACATAGGGAGAAGTTTGTGATTTTATTCTTTTTTTTTTGCTTTTTGTTTCAAGAGAATTTTAATTGTGAGGTTATTCTCATGCAGCACCAATAATAGCTAAATGTATCTCATATTAAGTATGTATATCATTAGAGTTGGCTCTTTTTGACTCAACTTGAAAGTCTAAAAGCTAAAATGATTATGTATAACTTTCATCACACAAATAACAACCATTTTTGATTTGAATATGCAGTTTGTTATAACTAGGAAGCTAGAGAGTAAGAATGCATAAATGTATTTAGAATTTTTCTTTTCTACTAATAAAATTGTCTATTGCGCCTTTTAAAAATGTTAGTTGATTGTTTTTACTTAATTATTAATCAATGCAATGCCTACCAATTAAATTGCTTTAAATCTAATGACACACTATTTTCTTTTATTTGGAATTTATCAAAAAAATATAAAATTTGTGTACAAAAGTTTTCTATATTTTTTTTTTCTAAACTAGTGAATTGTCAGGAAACTTCCTTGGAAAGGATTTCTTGTTCACAAACCCCAAATCCCATAGTTCATTTAAACTAAACCACACTGAACAACTATTATTGAATTTGGAATGTACAACAAAATAGTTGTTCAGTGTTACAACCTCCTACACTTAATAAGCCATGAAGTTGGAAATGACGGCAACGTCGCGTATGGTGCTATTTTGTTACTGAAGTTATGTGTTTCTATGTATTGCGTTTATTGTGTATTATTGCAGTTCAATATTTTTGTGGGCATTATTCATTATTGACGAAAAAGTGGATAGAAACACACCGATATATTGCCCATATTCAGTTGATACCTGTTCCTTTGTGCTTTGATTGTGATTGCAAATTTTTAGCAAATGGGTACAGGAGCAAAAATGAAGGAAAGGTAAGGTAAAACAAGTAAAACAATATTAATATTTGTGTGCAAGAGCATATGTCTCGATATATTACCTAAGATATTTAAACTTGTTCCAGATGCCATGAAACTACTGTGTTCCTGGGTGCAAATAGAACTATAGGAGTTCCTTAAAAACAGAAGAAATGCAAACATTTTCATTTCCAAAAAAATTCTGAATTGCAAAAAATGTGGATGAAAGCAATAAACCAAGATAGTTATACCCGAGATTATACAATAATAACGAAAAATTCTATGGTGTGTTGTAAATATTTTGAAGAAACCTAAATAATTAGATTTGAAACAAACAAGGATAAAGGAGTAATTCGAGAGTTCAAACTAAAACGTCCAACTCCTAAAAGTACCTCTTATTTTCGAAAATCAGCTCAAGTATTTGAATGGACCTGCCTTCCGAAAAAATCCCGAAGAAAGAAAAAGTTAGATTTTCAAAAGACATACTGAAACATAGGCTCATTTAACTTTAAAATCTAGAAATATATTCATTTAAATCAGTTATTTACTGTTTTTATTTACACAAATAGTTATATTATTCATTGAATTACTGTTTTTGGCCCTTTATAGTACAATAAATGATGCATTTTTTGTGATCCATATTAACAAAATAAAAATTATACAGGGTGTCTCATGGTGGATGGCGTATTAGACGTTAATGGAAAACTAAAAAGCGGATCATTTTGAAAAATTGGCAACCGGGATAAACGACCATAATCTACACTTTAAAAATATTTTTGTTTATGCGGTGTTGCCGCTTCTACTCTAAACCAGTGGCAACATCGTCATTTTAAATGGAATACCCCGTATATGATTGCATATTTGCATTCTTCGTAAAATTCTGAACAGATTTCATGTGATATACCCTATACCTAAGTTCAACTGTTTCGGAAATATTGACAGTCGAAAATTGACTTTTTTCAACTTTGACGGGCTGTAAAACCTGAACGGTTAATTTTAGACGAAAACCAATTTCACTTTTCTATCTTAGATTTTTATAAACTATCATTTGACACCAACTTTGAAGTTAATCCATGATTAAAAATTCCAATTAAATTTAATCTCCGGTTAAATTAAAAGTTGGTGTCAAATGATAGTTTATGAAAATCTAAGATAGGAATGTAAAATCGGTTTTCCTCCAAAATTAACCGTTCAGGTTTTACAGCCTGTCAAAGTTGCAAAAAGTCAATTTTCAACTGTCAATATTTCCAAAACAGTTGAACTTAGGTATAGGGTATATCATATGAAATCTGCTCAGAATTTTACGAAGAATCCAAATATGCAATCAGATACACGGTGTTCCATTTAAAATAGCGATGTTGCCACTGGTTTAGAGTAGAAGCGGCAACACCTCATAAACTAAAATATTTTTAAAGTGTAGATTATGGTCGTTTATCCCGGTTGCCAAATTTTCAAAATGATCCGCTTTTTACTTTTCCATAAACGTCTAATACGCCATCCACCGTGGGACACCCTGTATAGGTACTTATAAAAATAAACAGCACCAGCACCACTTGGCGGTAAGATTGCGGTGTTGCCTTTTTAACTTCATGGCTTGTTAAGTGTAGGAGGCTGTGTCAGTGTGGTTTAGTTTAAACGAACTATGGGGTTTCGGGTTTGTGAACAACAAAGCCTTTCAAGGAAGTTCAGATTGCCTGACTAGTGACGAATAAACAAGCAATCTATAAATTCTATAATTCATAATCCCATTCGTCGGACGTCGGCCAGTAATCCGCCAACCAATGAGATTAGGCCCAGTTTATTCATCTTCAGATAAACTTGCTGGTAACTTTCTGCAAACTGCAAGATAAATTTACGGTTCTATAATAATTCTATTGGTCAGCGGATAACCGGCCGACCAATGGAATTACAAGGATTACGGATCGCGTTTTTAACTGTCAGATTGCATACCTGAAAGTTTATTAGGAGGTGAATAAACCGGCCCTTAGACGGTAAATTTATCCTGTAGAAGCTTACCAGTAAGTTTATCTGGAGATGAATAAATCGGGCCGTAATGATTTATCTCACAGAAAAGCAAGCTGCAATGGAAAACAAAACAGAGCTAAATAGGAGCAAAATGGCGGAACAAATATCCAATCAAAAAGAAGTTGAGAATAATAGGCAACCTAACCTTACTTAATCCTTGAAAAAAGTTTTTGTCTTTTTTAGGTTTTGAACATTTTCAAACAAATTTTTATAAATAATTTCAGTTCAAAGATACATATAATTTAATTACAGTGCAACAGCAATGTCTAATAGTCATTTATTCTTAAAACCCATATTTATAACGACCCCAGGTCAAAATGGGGTCGGTAGATATGTTTGCCAATTGCAAAGGGTAGTCCTAAAGTTTTGTATGAACCACGGAGCCAGTAGGGGCATGAGGCAAGTATTTCCGATCAAAAACATTTATACCTACTACACCCAACTTTACCTGAATCTGTATTAATTTTTAGAGAATTCATTGAGACAAAATTGATTGACTTTGTAAAAGAAAGTCCTGAAGTGGCTGTGTACATGAAACCAAGAAGACACAGGACACCTATTATCAAAGCTGAATATTGTAAGTTGAGATTCAAACTTTCATAATTAATTGGTACTGAATTGTTTAAGCTATTTATAGTGAATGGAGATGCACAATGGGTGAATGCAAGAAACTTCACGGAGGAAGAAGTGTTGAAATGGTTGAAACTCCTTAAATCACAGTCAACAGATAGAAATGGAATTAGATTGAGAAAACTTCATCATACAGATAATCCTTCGATACAAGGACCATGGACTCCTTATATGTTTAGGTAAGAAGTGTGTACATCAATAAATTATAGGCAGTGGAGTGGATAGAGGTCCGAAAATTCGGATCTCTAGTGTTCATACTAAAGATCCGATAATTCTCGGATTTTCAATTTGTATATTAGGGATCCGAAAATGCGGATCTTTAGTGGTAATATTGAAAATCCGAAAATAGATGTTTATTTCTAATTTTGTTAATTAAGGAATATTATCACATTCCAATAAAATTGATAAAATGCTTGTATTTTTAAGGATTTATACTAGAAAAAATGGATCTTCTAATCTTTTTTATGTAGAATAGCCTCGAGAATAGCTAATCAAGTTTACTCGAAAATATTTGGTTGGTGCAATTTCAAACAGAAAAGTACAAAAAACAAAACTAAGTACCTTTTTATTTTTTTAAAACATATAATTGAAAATAAATATTTCTTTATTTTAATAGTTGGGGAGCTGGCGTCAAAAACATGCAAGAGTTTTCGCAAGGCGGATATTTTCAAAATAGGTCGTACTTTAGTGTTAGAATGCTAGTGTACAGTCAGCACTCACAGTTCCGGGACAGCTGGCTCTGGGACGCGGGCAAAGTTGTAATTTTAAGAAGTATCTAAACTGTTTTCTCAAAGCTCAAAATTTATAGAAATTTTGCACATTATCTGTTTGAAGGTCACAGATAACGTATGTAAATCGTCAGACGTCTAGTTCGTTGCAAAAAGGGGGTCAGACGTCCTCAAAGTTTTTATTTTATGGCATTTTCTTCGGTGTCCTGTCAAAATATATTTTTGCAGGTATTTTTAAATTTATTTATTTTAAATTTATTTGTTTATTGTCTAACAGGATAAACCCAATAACAAGACAATTATAATAATCTCAAATTAAAGACTAGACAAATGTTATTGTAAACTTAAAACTAGGTTTTGACATATGCTTCATATACAAATACATGAAGTAACTAACTATAGTTTGTAATTAACAATCAAGAGAAAACAGATGTAAATTAAGTATATTAAGCAGCATCAACAGCTTCCCCCAGCAAAACCCCAGGACAAAAAGTTAACCCCAAGCTAATCAGCAATATTCCACAAAAATGCAAGATTCAATAATCAATCAAAACAATCACTAGAGCAATTTAATTCAGGAGAGCATTTTTTATCTGTGATATAATTTTAGTTTTAAATGACTTTACAGTACCATTGAAAAGATCCAACTCAAGTACAATGGGTATTAATTGATTATGCCATGAGCAGGCTCTATATATAGGCGCATTTCTGGCGAGATTAGAATGACAGTTTTCCAGATAAAATTTATGGTGAGTTCGGGTGTTTGCTGCAGGAACCAAAAAATTGAGGCAACTTAATATTTCAGCCGAATCAATTAAATTATTGCATATTTTGAAAATGAACAATTGACTGGCAAGAATTGTACTTTGCTTAAGTGATAAAAAGTTAAATCTTTCTAGTAATAATTTGTGGTCATATCCCCGTGGAGGGTAAATGCCATCCTGCTTAAAGCTTAGGTACTTGAGAAATCTGCGCTGGACATATTCGAGCCTGTCAACATGTACATCATAACTAGGAAACCATATCAGAGCTGCATATTGTAATTTTGATTTTATCAATGAGTTGTACAAGGCAATCAAGCCCTCCGTATTTGTGAAATCTTTTGTAGACCTAATAATAAAGCCAAGTGTTTTCAAAGAAGCTTGAACGATTTGGTCAATATGTTTATTAAAGC